GAGGGTTGACAAGGTTCACTATGTGATGACCTGTGTGAATGTATTTCTGTATAAAACGTTGGGTTATCTAACAGTACCGTTGAGATGCCTAGTCAGAAACAGGATCCTCATTAGATTAGGCAGTTGGTACAAGCATAGTACAAGATACTGTCACTGCTTGAGGTAACATAGAATATGACATTTGAACTGTAAAGCAACCTGCTTGCTTTTTTTCCCTCTGGCAGGTAGAAAATCTGCAAAAAGAAAATGCTAGCCTTAAAAAACAGGTCCAAAAAGTGAAGGAACAGTTCCTGCAGCAGAAGGTAAGCAAAAGCAAACTATTTCAAAGAAATAAAACCAAGGAAATTTTTTTTTTTTTTTTTTCACAGTGAAGACATGTACTTCTGAGGGGTTTGTGAGGACACTTGAATCAATTTTCTGTATCAAAGAACTTTGTGACATAATTACACAGTTTCTGTATTTCATACAGTTGAATTTTTATCTGGAACTAATGTAAAAGCAGATCCACCAACCAATTCATGCTTTCATTGGATTTCAGGGAGTTTGCCAAATGATCCACCATATAAAACCTGTCTCTGGTTTGTTGATACTAGGTTTGGTTTTGCAAAAGCAGTTGTGAAAATCTTTAAGGGTCATCATTTTCCTGCAGCTGTGAGAAATGATAGTTGCTTCGATAATTAGATGGAAAATTAAGTGCTTCAGTGCAAAATTTATTTGAATTTACACAGTTTTGAAATATTAATTTGAAATTGATATGCCATTAGTGTTGCACATATATGTGTCTTATACATAAGGCAGTACCATTAATTTACTGCTTGAGTGCTTATTAACTGCTGATACATAGTGGTATTTGATATCTGAGCTTACCTAAAAGCCTTTGATCCAGAGTAAATATGTTACAGAATATAATCCTGGTTTGTATTCTTTGACACGCCCTCCAAACTGAAAGAATATCAGTAAATCCTTTATAGTAAATTACTCGTAAATTTGTAAAGCTGTAACAGAGGTGACATTGTCCTCTTGAAACTCTTGTGTCCAAGGTAATGGTGGAAGCTTATCGAAGAGATGCAAGTTCTAAGGACCAGCTGATTAGCGAACTGAAAGCTACAAAGAAGCGGCTGGACTCAGAAGTGAAAGAGTTAAAACGAGAGCTACTGAAAATTCAAGTTGAAAAGCAGTCACTCGAATCTGAACATTCAAAACTGCAGAAGGAAGTATCTCAGGTTCACCAGCAGATGGTGGAAATAGAAAATAATCTTCAGTCAGTGCAGAAAGAACGAGACGATATGGAAACACGCCTACAGGTACGGAAGGTGTTAAGCTTTGGACTTTGAGAGTGTTACATCCAGGATATGTTGCTATTTCTATTAACTTTGGAAAAAAAACCCACTTGCAAGTTAAGGTTCTTGGTTATGTATTTAATATTGTCTATACGCTTGAGCATATACCTACCAAAATTCTGTAAATACATGACTGCTTATTAACATTTCATGTATGTAAGTGGGGAGAAGCACACTACAGGACTGGTAGAGGTGTGATGTGGAAGCAGTTTCCTTAGTCCCAACGTGAACTCCATCTGAGAGCAAAGACCAAACTAGAACTCTGTTCGTACATGTTATGGTGATGGCCACAGAGGGAAGAATTAAAGAAATAAAAGGAAAGAGAAAGGAGATGGAGAACCTTGGAACAGTTTGTATTTAGAGATGGAAGTAATTTTGAAATTTCATGCTTACTCTTTTATAATCCAACATACAGCAAACATGCTTTTGTTCTTACTCTCATGGGTGATTTTTCCCTTTCTATTAAGTCTTTGCAGTTCGATAAGGAACAAATGGCATCTCTTGCTGAGGCAAATCAGGCATTAAAACAACAAGTAGAACAAATGCAAGAAGAAGCAAAAAAGTAAGTGTTCTTTTAGCACAGATGAAAGAACTACAGCATTAGTTTTTCAGATTCACCTTTTTAGCAATTGTTCTTTTCCTATTCCCTAGTTTTTCCTTTGGGAAATTTAAATAGTCAGAGAGTCATAGAGTCATATCTGTGGCAAAGTGTTGGTTGCATGCTACACAAGAGTTGCAGCTTTTTCTCTGATTCAGTTATGCTTTTAACCAACAATCTATGCCATACAACATACATATTGAAGCTAATCCTAATTACTATTCACTGAATTTTAGCCTTGACTGGCTAGAATGTTGGCATTAATGAGAAGCATTATTGTTTTTTCCACTGGTGATCACAGGGTTTTTATGATACCTGACATATCCACCAAGGATCTCAGATTAGATTGGATTCTTACTCTAAATTCTGTGTTATTTTTAGAAAGAGTAGTATATATTCCTTCATATTGGAGTTTTAGTAATTCTGACAAAGACCTCTTAATTACTGTAAGTATTTTTTTAGAATGTTATCAAGAGTCTTCAAGGTATTGTCTTGCAAAGGGCCAAACTGTACCTTACCCACCTGATGGCTTTCTCCAATGTGGTGGACATCTGTGGGACAAGGAGAGAGAAGTGGATGTTGGTTTTTGTGGGGCTGTGTGAAAAATTAATCTTTTATTGCTATTTTTAGGCAGTTTTTGTTTTTACCTGATGTTTTGGTTTTTGTTTCACTCCAGGGCCATTACTGAGCAGAAACAGAAAATGAAGCGTCTAGGGTCAGATCTGACGAGTGCTCAGAAAGAGATGAAAGCAAAACATAAAGCCTATGAGAATGCAGTTGGCATTCTTAGTCGTCGGCTACAGGAATCTCTTGCCGCAAAGGAATCTGCTGAAGCAGAGTTGAGCAAACTAAAAGCACAAATCACTGATGGTGGAAGCAACCAGATTGCTCAAGTACGCAGATGTCTTTTAACATTGTTAGTACACGGACAGAGCTATCTTGTTATTAAATATAAGTCTTGAAATACTATTTTACACTGAAGTGATGAATATATTTGTAATATAAAGCTAGATAAGAACATGGTATCAATGTTCTGAGCACCGAAAATTTTCTTCACTACATTTGAGAGAGGTGATTTGGTAGGCTTTGGTTTGGTTGGTGGGTGGTTTTTTTAATTTTGCTTGTATCTTTCAGGTTACCAATTGGAATCCAAGTTCGAGAGGATGATCAGCCCTAGTGCTAAATTTCCTGATTAATTTTTATTGTTGTTTTGGTTTGGTTTTGTTTTTAAAGACTCAGCACCTGAAGATTTTCCAAAATTCTAACTCTTACTGCTTTTTACTCATTGACAGTTAAAAGTTCTTCACGGTGGCCATAACTTACTCACATATGTTCTGCCTGTGATACGAAAATTAATTTACTGGAGGAAGCTCCAATTCCGTGGACCAATGGAGAAAGATATCAAATACATTAACAGCAGTAGCTGGATGCACGGGGGAAAGCTCTGAGGAAGACCTTTACATTAAGCACTAGCACCTCATTCAATATTTGCTAGAGAAGTAGGCTTTTTAACAAAAACAAAATTACTCCTGTAGACGGGCAATGTATTAATCGCGTTTGTGATCCCTTTGTCTTTAGGAAAGGATTCAAGCTCTGGAGACAGAATTGCAAGCTGTTAGCAGCAGTAAGTTGATGCTGGAAAAAGAGTTGCAAGAAGTGATTTCACTTACCAGCCAGGAGCTTGAAGAATACAGAGAGAAAGTGCTGGAACTTGAGGATGAGGTGATTGCTTGAATTTGCATGGTAGATGGGAAGGTTACAGTAAAAAGTACGTGAGAGGCAGGGAGAAATTTTAGTACCATAATTTTATTCCAACAGTGCAGGAAATCGGAATCTTACATGGGAAACATTGTGTCAGTGACACTTACTAAGTTTGCTGCCCTGTGCTTGTTCTTCGTGGTTTCATGAATCATTGTTGTATAGGGGAAAAGAAGATGAGAGAGAAAAATAGTTCCTGTATTAGATACCAGCTGTGTCTAGTCATGAGACGGTGAGGACGCATGAATCATTATCTTTTGAAAACTATTTGGAGTCATGGATGCTCAGTGACTTTGAGGGTAGGGTGGTAGTGTTCAGTGTAGAGTTGCTCAAAAAAATTGTATGTATCAACTACTCTTGATCTGCACCTGAACAGCACTCCTGGATTCTGCTTTCTAGCAAGTGTTTTAGTCTTTCAAAAGGAAAAAATACCTAACTGAAATTATTTTGAAGTGTTCATTTAAAAAAGAAAAAAAAAGAAAAAAAAAGAAATCCCGCTCCGGGAAAGTAAGATGTTTATGAGTTTAATGAATTTAACTCACAGCTTTTTGTGATAGTAATCTGGAGTTGTTTAGTTTTGTTTGTTTTTGTTTTTTTTCTTTGGCTATAGCTTCAGGAATCTAGAGGCTTCAGGAGGAAGATAAAACGTTTAGAAGAAATTAATAAGAAGTTGGCTCTTGAACTGGAGCATGAACGTGGAAAACTTACAGGTCTTAGTCAGTCCAATGCCGCTTTGCGGGAGCACAACAATATCCTTGAAACAGCGTTAGCAAAAAGAGAGGCAGACTTGGTACAACTGAATCTACAGGTATTTGACCTTTTGATATAATATCTAAGAAAAGAATTCGCTCATATTTCTGATAACAGGATGTAGACATCTTCACTCATATGATAGAAAGTTGGTGCATTTTCTCCAGGTCTGGGTTTTCTGTGTGTTGCGTAACAGCAGTAACATAGGGGCCTAAACAAGAGATCAGAAGTAAGACTTTGCACTAAACAAAGCTGTTTCTTTTGGAAGAAAACAAATCACACTAAAATATTTGCAATAGTGAAAGTGTAGCTCACTTAAGTTAGTTGGAACATAACAAACTGTGTTACATATGGATTCATTGAGATGAACAATTTTTATGCCAATAGTAATATATTTGTGGGGTGTAAGCAAATGGGAATATAGGCAATGAGCTACTATTTAACCATAGCTACTCTTAAGGTTGAAGGGTACCATGAGGAAAGACTTAGTGAACAGCAGAGAGAAGTTTTGCAATCCCTGCATTGGCTTGTGTTGGTATTTCCTCTGCTGACATTCCTGGTCTTCCAGTGAGCCCGCACAAAATGTGCCTTTGTTTTTGTGATACAGGTTCAGGCAGTCCTAAAGCGGAAAGAGGAAGAGGATCAGCAAATGCAACAACTTATTCAAGCTTTACAGGCTTCCTTAGAGAAAGAAAAGTCAAAAGTCAAAGAACTTAAGAAGCAGGTAATGGCTCATCTTTTGTTTTATTTATTTAAAAGGTGATTTAAATGTAAACTATTTGAAAAGTAGCTTGAAACAAAATCTATGCTTTATAACATACTGCCTCCTGCAGCGTCTCTGTCATGACAGCCAGTGGCTGAAAGATCAGTTGATGTCTCTTCTGTTGTGCTCTGTGTTAAGCATACATATTGACTACCAGGAAAGTTCCATTATGACTCGTTATGCATGGGATACATCCTGCAGTGATGATACTTAATCCAAAAATTCACAATGAAGAAATGGTCTGGCAAACGTGCTTCTTCCATTATATATAGTTATTAACTGCCATTAGCATTAATAAGGATAACAACACTAATAGTAAGTTTTTTAGACAAAAAGAGAAGTGTTAATAGCTGCACAACTTCTTTCTTGATTGGTTTTGTACCTCTTCAGTCTAGCTTCCTTTGATTCACCTACAATGATAGAGAAAAATTGCATCTTTTTTTCTTGAAGGAAGCAGCAGCCAAAGCGGATGCAGCACATAACCGCCGTCATTACAGAGCTGCTATGCTTGAGCTCAGTGAAATCAAGAAAGAGCTACAGGCCAAAGAACTGCTTGTCCAAGCCCTTCAAGTTGAAGTGGACAAACTGCAGTAAGTAAATGTGCAAGTTCTTAGAGAATAGTAAATAAAAACAAATCCTCTGAAAAAAACATTCATTAGTGAATTTTTGATTTGCCATGCTGGAGTGGATTATGTTGAAATGTACCCTAGCTGAGCCTGACCATAAGATGCATGTTTCAACTCTAGGCAAATACTTACATTTTTCTGTCTCTTCATAATTCAGTTAGACCTGAAGTGTGCTGTATTTAGGCTTCACCATCTGCTTTTTTTACAGTTTCAACACAGATTTCTGCTATTTTGTGTTACTAGTAAGGATTAACACTTCGTATACATGCTATTATTATTCTCTCTTTCATATCCCTGAGGAACTACGTACAGGATGAATTTCACTGTTGAATATATTCCACAATATATTAAGATTCAATTTGTTTTCTTGTATAGAAGATATTTTTTTAAAATTATAAGAAATTATCAGACCTACATAAGAATTGATGTAAGGTTAACGCTATTACTCCTTAAAACAGAAGCAAAATTGCTGAAAAGTTTTTTTTGTTTTGTTTGTACTGCATAATGTATTGTTTGTAACTGGACTATTACCAGTGCTCAAGGAATTTTTTTTTTTTCCCCAGTATTTAATGACATGTTCATGCATCTGTCTCACATAAAATCTTTTTGTGATTTAACTCTTGCTGTGAATGTGTTGGCAAAGCCTTCAGTCAAAGCTATAACTAACCAGGTTCCATGTCATGTAATTTATGGTTACATAGCTAACTCAGTGAAGTACTTGTTTTAAAGGACAGATTGAATAACTGCTGCATCTGTTAATCCTGCTGTGCAGGGCAGAGGATGAAAAACATTCCCAGGAGGTATCACAGTTTCAGCAAGAGCTGGCAGAAGCCAGGTCTCGGCTCCAACTTCTGCAGAAAAAGCTGGATGACAAGCTTAGTGAACAGCCTGTGGTAAGCCAAGAGGTAAAAACTGCACATTTACTGTGTTTTTTATTTATGATGCATTGTATGACTTCATTTGTCTTTAATTCTGCATTTTTAAATGAAGCTTTACTAGGTTTTCTTAGAACAAGGAAGGGTTCATGAGACATAGTAATTTATTTCAGATTTTGTAGTTAATTGTGCTTATAGGTAATTCCAAAGATACTTTTGCACTCCCCCGGTAGGTGGAAGACCTCAAGTGGGAAGTAGAACAAAAAGAAAGAGAAATTGAAACGCTTAAGCAGCAGTTGGATATGAGTGAACAGCGCAGCCACAAGGAATTAGAAGGGATACAAGTTGTCTTGCAGGTATTTAATCTAGCAGGTGGAGATTCTGATGGATAACTGGTATTGCTGTAGGGGGGATAATTAAAACAGTATCTTTTTGTTTAAAAGCATACTTATACTCTTTTTAAAATAAACTTTTATTCGTAAGAACTCACTATATGTTTTGCAGTATCTTTACTTTTCTCAGTTTTACTTCGACTGTGCTGTTGGCTTCTTATTTCCTTGACTTTACGTCATTAAAATAGGCTAGTGACCTTTTAAAATCTAATTTCTGGTTTTCTGCCACGGCAAATTGGTTTCAAATAGCAGTGTCATGTGTTGTTTCTTTTTCTAGTTTCCCCTGGAAACTGAAAAATATGATAAAAACATTAGTTGGCTGGAATTTTTATACTATTTCCCTGTGTCACATTGATTCTCTTCTTTTCCCATTGAGAATATCAAGACTGAGTTGGAAATGGTGAGGGAAGACCTGTCACTGACTCAGAAGGACAAGTTTATGCTGCAGGCTAAAGTGACTGAACTGAAAAACAGCATGAAGTCACTGCTGCAGCAGAACCAGCAACTGAAGTTGGACCTGAAGCATGGCAAGATGAAGAAGGTATTTAAATAGGAAGAATACATGTTGTAGGGGACCGGAAAATACTCCGCTAATGCTTTTAAATTTAAATACGGGAAAATATTCCGCTGCAGGAGACCTGGTGAAAACTCTGAACTGAAATGCCTGCCTGTGATATGGACTTACTAATGTTCTGGTATTTAAATGATAAATACAGGAAGATTTGCAGGCAAAAGTAACTACACTGATCTTGACTTTCCACCTTTTACTTCAGAAATCTTTGTGTTCAGCATATTATCATAGACTTACATTTTGACTAATAATAAAGCAGCAAAGAGGTAGCACTTTTAAATAATGAATCATGGGCAAATACGGAGTTAATACCTTCTTATAGTTAATACCTTCTTAACGTTCATATGTCTGTCATCTCTGTACTGTCATCGTTCCACAATTTCAAAAGATAACTACTAGTGGTTTCTTTGAGTTTTCTGATTTGTTACTAGTACACAGAAAATGCAATAATAG